TGGCCTCCCCCTGGCGGGCTGCACTAGCTTTTATTAATTCGGTTAGCCTGTTATAAATACTTCACGAATTAAACCCCTAGTTACCGCTGAGGCTCGAAATTCTTCTAATCACTTCAATCTCAGGTCGTCCTTTTCCAGATTCAAGCAATATTAAAAGACGACAATGGCTCCCGCGGTTATAAATGTACCGCAACGCCCCGGCTTCATCACTATCGGCATCACTGGAATTATATGCAAGGAGGGTGACTTCATTGTAAAATATCCAAAAACAGAGCCCGAGACATCTTCGTACGCGCAAGGGTATAACATCATGCAGCTAAAGATGATGGACACTGAACGCCAGATATATGAGCGATTGGGTCCGCATGACAGCATCATCCGTTATTACGGCCCTCTTGACGACTCTGGGGCATTCAAACTGGCATACGCAAAACAAGGCGATCTCGAAAAGTACATACCCAGACACGAGATGCCATCCAAGGCAACACGAATAGCCTGGATTCGGTCTCTGATAGAGGGTTTCTACCACATCTATTCCAGCAAGGTGCTTCATCAGGATGTCAAACCAAACAACGTTCTTGTCCACGATGGCTCAGTTAAAATCATCGACTTTGCCAATGGAGAGATCTTCCCTCCGGATACAGACATGGAGAAAGTCTACACAGATGACCCTTTCGCGAAGGGAGACTTGTGCGGAATCGCCAGCGTGATCTACTCTGTGTCCGCCTGGAGAGTATTCTATTACGAATATTTTGAGGACAACCGATTCCCGCGGCCAGATGAAATTCCTAATACCGAAGCCTTGTTGTATCGGGAGATTATCGACAAATGCTGGAGGAACGAGTATCATTCCGTTCGATCACTGTATGAGGATTTCCAAAAACATGAGCAGGAGGTTATTATTCCGGACCTAGAGAGGGACGAGAAGCCCCGGATGGAGTTTATACTGTGGTTCTGTGCTGTCCCATCTCTACTCTTGCTTTCGGGTCGGTTTCTTTGCGGCGGATTTAGATGATACAGAGAGTGTGCCTGAATGGAGCTGCAGTTAGCTGCGGTCTTGGATAAATGTATGAATAGACAGGTTTTTTGCAAGTAAACGCAAACGGTTTAGTATTTAGATAAATCTTAGCTATGAGTAAACATAGAAAACAGTGTTATTTTTCTAATACTTCATGAGATATTGGTACATGTCCTCTATATTTTCCCCCAACGGCCATGAAAAAAAGGTAACTGACAAATGGTGATAAAAAGTAAGTAGAAAAAAAGATGAATAGTATACAGGAGTATCAAACATAACAAGTTGGGGCTAATTTCGAACACGGCCAGTTTCAGCACCAGGGGCGTCGGCGGCGTTGGGAGCTGAAAAGCCTAAGCCATGAGCCTTCTTTCGCCGTCCCTTGCGGTCACCATATTTCTCGTCAAACTTTCTGATAGCAGTTAGAGATGACATGTCTTCACTGATTGATGCGCTTATCTCTTCCATTGCCTTTTCGAAGTGTTCTTTGCGCAAAGTGCGGTGTTCGGGATACTTGTACGGTTCGTCTCCCTTGTGCTGTGCAGCGATGTCATTCTCTTCTCGGACACAGGCTAGTGCAGCCGCAACTGAAAGGTTCTTCAAGTCAGAGCCAGAGTAAAATGGTGTCTTCTCAGCGATATCGGCTAGATCTACGCATGGCGCAAGACGTTCATCCTTGAGATGGATCTTAAGAATGGCCAAACGGTCCTGTTCCGTGGGTAGATCAACGAGTAAACGACGGGGTAGACGGCGGAGCACGGCATCATCCAGGTCAAACGGCCGGTTTGTAGCTATCATAATGAAGGCAGAGAGGCTGTTCATGCCATCCCACTCGCGGAGGAACTGATTGATGAGTTCTCGGTGGGAGGTGCGGTTACTTGCACCTGTTCGAGAGCAGAAGATGGCATCTGCTTCATCAATGAAGACAACACAGGGTGTGAGCTTTTTGGCCAGGGTGAAGATGGCACGGACGTTCTTCTCGCCTTCTCCAACGTACATGTCGTAGACGTCTGATCCGCTGATTTCAAGGACGGTAGCACCGCTCTCGCGAGCAACGGCTTTGGCAAGCATTGTTTTACCTGTGCCTGGAGGGCCGTAGAGAAGTAGACCGGGTATCTTGTCGGTAGCAAGGACACCGTATGTAAACGCCTCGGGCCGAATGAGAGAAAGGGAGGTAAGTGTCTTGAGGGCCTCCTTGGTCTCAGGTGGAACATGGACATCTGCGAATGTAGTTTTTATACCTTCTGCATCTACCACGCCATTGAGGAGCTTCTCTTCGTGAGTATTGCATTTCGGTCGTAGTTTATTCCGTCTATCCTTATGGGTAGATGGTTTCGACGGTTTCGCTTTATTCTGTTTCTCGCCTAGCCAGTCACACTTGACCTGATCACTTTTGCCTACCAGCTCAATACCCTTGGTAATATGGTCTAGTGTCAGGCTTTCGTCAGGTTTTATACAGCCAAGGGTGAGTGTGGAGATGCGGTGGACAAGGCTGAACGGCCAATACCCCGTATCGAGGCCCGAGGTTCGAATGAGCTCTTCCTCAAGCTCCCAGGGCTGGTCGTTGAGGAGGCTCTGAGCAGCTGTTCCGGACCTCCTGAGTCTGGTCTTCAGCATAACTTTTAGATGTCGAATGTTGATGTCGAGGATGCGCTTCTTTGCATCTTTGGCAAATATTTCTTCTGCAGCCTTTGACGACATTGCTGGAGGCACGACGATGGTTGAAGCACGCTGGTCATAGTCTCTTGGAGTCAGCCTTGGGAATGCTTTCTCATGGCCCTTGTCAGATTCCGGCTCAGATACGGTTCCGACGATAACTATCTGGTCGCCGTTGCGCCGTCGTCGCATGACGGTTTTGTGCAATAGTGAGAGGAAGAAGGATCCCCCCCGGGTGTTGAGTAGGTCTTTGTAGTCTTGTATTTGTAGGATGAGTGTTGGTTTCTTTGGCAAAGGTGATGAGGATTGCTGGGATGGCGGGGTCGTAGGGGTGGGAGGTGTGGTAGGGGTATCTTCAGCAGATTGAATGGGGTCGGTGGGCTCAGGGGTAGAAGATGGCTGCTCCTTTGCATGCTCAGCTTGCACACACTTCCCCAGAGGCACATCCAAGAGCTCATTGATCAGTCGTAGACATCGAACGTCCTCATCCGAGTCCATGCCTTCCTTGCGTTCACCACCGGGGAGGACTACCTTGGCGACTCCAAATGAGCCCTTACCGCCAAAGAGAGACTGCAGTATGGATGGGTTTACCAAGCTTGAAATATCAGCGCTGATTTTGGTGACGGGGACAGCAGACTGGGAAGACCAGCGGTCCGACTCTTCATCTTCCATCTCCTCCTCTTCCTCTCTCTCCTCTGCTTCTTCCTCCATCTCCTTCTGTGTATGCCGTTGTCCCGGCCTGTAGACGTCATAGCCGAGGAGAAGCATCATGGAGCTAGACAGCTGATCACTTTCCTGTCGTTGCTGGCCATATAGCTCGGCAATATCCTGTGCATTCAGTGTGACGATGCTGGTATTCAGGTCCGTGGCCAGGCTCTTGACCACAGCATCCAGAAAGAGGATTCCGCCTTCACCGGGGTACTGTAAGACAAGATGGGGCTTTGCAGAGGCTGGGTCATGAGCATATCGAGCAGCAGGCAAGGTTAGACCGGCCTGTACAGCTGCTCTTAGCTCCTGCCATACCTCTGGGCTGAGTGTATACCGAGAGTCCGGGCTAGACGGCGAGCCATCATCTGGCTTTCCGGCGCTACCGTCATCACCTCCCTGGCCCTCACGGAGCTGGTCACCATCCTCGGCGTTCTCCTGTTTGCTCTTCTGGGATATCTGCACATCTAGGGGTAGTAGCTGTGACTCATGTGCGGACTGATCAGACAGCTTCATGTTCCGCTGGTGGAACCAGGCTGGTAACTTGATAGCTACCGGCTTAGCGGGTTTATCTTCCGCCCTTCGATTCCTCATCGCTCGGCGAGCGCCTGACCCGTACGGACTGTAGCCCCTGGGTTTGTCCTTTTTTGCCTGGAGACCGGGCTCCTTGGTCTCTTTCTCTTTCCCCTCCGGCGCCACGGCATTCTTTGTCTCTGGCACCGGCGTCTCACCCTCAATTGGCCTGCTGTTGCTTACAGGCGTGTCAACCGGGTTATGCGGACCCTCTGGAGCCTCTCTGCGGGCGCTCGAGGAGTGAAAGGCGCGCGGATACCGGGCATGTTGACGGAGTCTAGAGCTGGCGGCGAGCGAACGGGCGGCTCCAGGGCGCCCGTAACGCACCGAGCGCAGAGCGCATTGCATTTGGGCGAGCATCCAGGGCAGATCTAGCACTGCTGCCACTGGGCTGGAGTGTTTCGAGTAGGTATTCGAGGACTCATCGGCGCTGAGCTCGCTGTCGTTTCTTTTCTTCTTTTAAGGTTCTTCGTTTGCTGTCGAGTTTGATCTGATATGCGGATATTAGTTTTTCCGTTGCCGTTATGCAGTGATTACATAATCATAGACACTGAAAATTTTACAGCTTCAAGCAAAGGCACAAGAGGGAGAAAGAGATAGAAATTGAATGCTAGGGACAGTTTGGAATGAAACAAGTTTGACTGAAAAAAGATCAATTCATTCACTAGCTATGCTATCTATATACGTACTGAGGGAAGAGACCTAAATCTGCAACAGTCAGCGAGGAAACAGCAAGCTGATCAAAGAGCAAACAAGCGAGAATGGCGTGTATAAAGCAAATCAGACATCCAAGGAAGATAAAACGCTCAACGACACGTCGACTTATTAGGTTCATGCGACAGCTAGCGTGGAAACTGCGAATGTAGGAAAAAATTTCATCATAGAGTGCTGGTGTGTGTGTGTGTGTGCATGTGTGTACAGGGTATTGGTAGGGGATAGCTTACCGTACAAACTACTCTACTGTGAGCGTTCAACGGCAGATGCGGTGGCTGCGAGCTTCATAGCACCTAGCGAGGGTCAGCAAAGGGCCATCCAGCGCGCTGAGGCAGCAATGGCGGTGGGAGACGGTTCCAGTCAGACAGATATACTGGCAAGCAACAGATCAACCGGAGAGGGAAGATCCGCATGTCTCTTTCAAGGGCGACTCAGAGAAGGTAAAGAAGAAGGAGTTTGTGTCATCACGGAACCAGAGCACACCGATACCACGTACCTTCATCGCATCTCCTACACCACCGTCTTGATCATCATCCCAACAACATCGTCGACTTCGTTGTTGTTGTTGTTGTTGTCGTCGTCGTTAAGAAGAAAAGAAAATTTTCTTCTTTTTAAGCGCACGAAAAAAACAAGCGTCCCACGTGACCTTGTCCCAAACGGGCTAGCGCGGCCGTCCGTTTTGCCTCTTCGAAGTTTTGAAGTCGAACGCAGCAAAGTCGACGACGACGACGACGAACAGCGCACAGCGACGAAGACAAGCGACGACGACAAGCGACGACGACGAAGACGACGCAGCGAAGAGACGAGAACGACGCGGGCTGACCTTCTCGGCGCTGCTCTCGACCTGATGGTGTGCAGGCGGACCTCCTCGCCGCCGCCGTGCTCCTGATACGCCCTCTCGTTTTCCCGCCCCCAGCCTGCTGGAATCTGCCCCTTCAACCTCCGCCGGAGCGCCTCGCTCGCCCTCTGCTCCTCCTTGCGCCCGCCTCTCTGAGGCCGAAGACCGTCGAGGCAGTCTGTCGTGTGGCCGCTGGAGCCCCGTCTGCGCTGGATATCTCGCCCTTCTGGTCGCCGTGGGGGTCGCTTTTTGCTCCGGAAGTATACTGTTGGTTAGGGTTCCGTGGGGATTAGCCCGGCCGTATTATCGCGTCGATACATGCCGGATATCAGCAGAGCCTGCCTCTGTCGCGCGTTTCCCTGGTGCCCTCACAGTTCTGCTCGGTCTCCCAGGCGTCGTGGTCAATCGGAAATGATGATGGTGCAGCCGTTCCCTGCTCCTCAAGTCGGCATGGCGCACCATCCGGGCATGGTGCAGAATCACCCAATGGCCCCCGGCCAGCATCCGGCTGCCGCGCATCTCGCTGCTCAGGCACCTGGCGGAGGCATGATGCAGCAGGTCCATGCCGGTGTTTCTGCGCCGGGGGCTCCCCAGGCCTCCCAGCCGGGCCCAATGGCTGCTGGCATGCAGCCCGTTTCGGGACCGGGAGGTCCAGGTCCCAACGCTCACACTCTCTCCCATCTCGGACCCGCTCACTCCCATCAGATGTTCCAGTCG